TCACAACACTAACGAAACGATACCAAGAGACAATAACAAACAACGATAACAAAATAGCACGAAGAAAGTATGACAAAGTTTAAAACAATTATAACAATAACAAATCTAACAACACCGCTACTCAGAAATTCCGCACACGCAATGCACATTAAAACACAAGAACCTCCCATACTTGACACTAGGTTGCTCAGCAGACGAACCACAACATGTGAGGCACGCCATTCATGTGTTCCCTAATTTTAGGTGACAATGTCCAAATTACGAAGCTTCTGATGCGCGGTTGCCTAACATACGGCACTGGCGTCATTCACGTGACCCACAAATGTCAACTACATTCTAATTTTATTCGGACATTAGAATGTGGATGATGAAGAAAGATAGCAATAGTAGATCTGGTTCTGAACAGCGGATTAAGAGTAAACAAGTTAATGGCAAATTGTTTTGTCTTCCTTTTGTCCCTAGCATTAATTTAAAGGTAAAATCTGAGTTAAGAACTGGATTTTATCTGAACGTAGTTATCAGAGTAACGAATCAAAGGAATGTAATTAGTAGGGGGCGGATTGTGCTGGCCTAAAACATTGCCTAAAATGATCAAAGAAATGCCCTTAAAATGTTTTTTAAATGTCCTAAAAACAAGAAAAAATGACGTTTAAATTGATCAAAACAACTTCTACTGAACAACTCAAAGTGTTGGATCCGTTACTGATATACTCGAAGTTTCTTCCTTTGTTGAAGTTAACTCAGCTGGCAAACTTTTGGTTTAGGCTGTTCTTTACAAGAAAATCTCCGCCTTTATCTATCGTAAAATCAGCAGAACTGACAATGGCGCCGATGACGTCACAGGGATCTTAGATTACATAGTACTCACAATGGCCACATTACAATATATGAGCGAAGAAATCGAATAGGCTACTCAGGAATTCCGTGAATATTTGTTGCGCCTCGTAAATATTGTTTGAAACAAGTACCATTATAAGTATATTAAAATCGATTGAAAAGGCGAAAAATGCTTTAAAAATGACTTAAAATGGGTAAAAAATGACTAGTTAGTCGATATCGACGAAAAACGTAAAAAATATAAAAAATGGGTCTTTTACTTTTCTCATAACATAAAATTAATTTCTATACTAAACGGCATTGTTCTAAAGTGAAAAGACAAAAAAAGACATTTAAATCCGCCCCCTAATAATTAAATTCTCAAAGATGGCAATCTCACAGAAAGGCGCACAAGGACCTGTAAACAAAATTGAATGTGCAGAATGTTGAGAATCATGCATAGGTCAGACCAAGACAAAGTTGAAATTGAGTTTGGTGGAACATAAAACATATATGAATGAAACCACTAATAAAAAAATTCGCCGACTACTAACAGAATTAACATTGGCCATAAAATAGATAAGATATATAAAATAGATTTTATAAATGCCAAAGTATTGAGAATTGCTAATGAGAACAGAAGGAATCCAATATGGTTTATCTCTTTAACATTAAAAAGTTGAGTGGTTAGCAGTCCTCGAATGTAGAGGTTTCTTTCTTTCCTCTCTTGCGCTTATTTTTGACCGGTAGAATACATTTTTTTTAGCGCAATTGGCACGACACGCCAACAGTCAGTCCACAATGGGGGTTTGGACGATTGACTCTGTTGCAACCTATTCAACTTTTGGACACTGCCAATTTCTTTAATGTTTTTATTCATAGTTGAATTGAATATAATTTATAATAAGGTGAGTTTCGGCTCCATTTGTATGAGGTACCGCCGTATGTTGTTTTTTATACAGAATGTACAGTATCGAAGAAAAACATGTCGTTCTAGCGCCTACATTTTTCTTCAATATTGCCTGAGAATTGGGCAAGTTTGGCCTCGAACCGTTGCAAGTTTTAAATGATAATAAATGGTTCTTAACTGCAATATTTTATTCAAGAATCTGTTCGTCGGATGACTAGCCAAGGGATTTTTCTATCAACTGAGAGTGACGGACAAGAATGTTTGATAAACGTATTATTTCATTTCTAAACATTATAACATTACACACAATTTCCATTTGCATTCTGAAAATATAAAACCATTTTAAGGAAACATAACTGAAAATAACCAAAGGGAAATCTGATTGAAAAAATACATTGGACGCTATAAATAAAAGTTAAGCAATATGCAATATAGGAAAAAGTACGACCACATCATCTCAAACTTGAAGAAAGACTTGAGAAAACGTTGTTTTACAGGATAATGACACATGTGAGCGATTCGGTAAAATGTGCAAGTCACTTCAACTAATGCTTTTCAAGAACTGCGTTTGTTCTCAAGGGCCACAAAATTCAACATTAGACGCATTAGACGTTTCCCCTAAACATTTGGGTACTATGTTTCATTCCGAAACGTCTGCCAATGCAATCCTTGGAACAGTCGGAAAATTAAAAATATATTTTTTCTGGTTTAGATGAATTTACGAACTGTTTACCAACGACTTGTGAGGTTTTTCTTATACACCCGTTGCCGAACACAATCAATGCTTCTTAATGCACAAATATATTTCCCGATATTTTCAAAACAAAAATTAAGTCACTCCAGAAGTCACTAAACAATTAAAATTGATACAAATGTTTACGTGCCAAGTAGAATAATTTCTGTAGCCTGTTTCTGGATATTTATACACCAACAAAAATTAGCATATTTAAATTAAATAAATTTATTAAGCACCGTTTAATTTACACTATTTAATTAAAAATAATATGCAGGTAACAAGTACTGTGCATCAGCTTCTGGTCAATGACCCCACTTTCTATCACTTTTAGTTATTTCATTTGATCCCTTCCAAAAATTCTGAGATAGACCCTTGTTTTTTGTTTCTGGACATAAATGCAACTCTTCTAACTGCGAATGTTTCCTTCCGCTCTCCTTGTGGGAGTAGGTCTGGGCATGTGGGTTGTTATTTTGTTAGTAATACAATGAAACAAATATGCTGTTAGCTTCAAAATGCTAATAAAATTTCTGTTACACTGGACGTACATTCTCTAGTTCTCAAACATTGCTAACAACGCTTTTGGGGTACCATTACTCATCATTCATCTATTGCAAAAGAGTGAGAACGGGATTCTGAAATTCAAAAAAAAAACGTGTGCAATTATACTTTTCCTCCATACATCAGATACAGTTTTTCCTAATTTTGAAGAAAAATAAATCAAATAGACACTACAGAATGTGTATAGAAAGAAGCAAGGACCGTTTAAATAAACTAACGCCCGTCTGTATTTACAAAAGCTTGATATGTCTCTTCGCTGACAAAAATTAGAGAAATGCGGGTTACAACTATTTTCCTCAGTTTCCTTCAACTCATCTAAACATTTTAAACTAGTGGTGTTTCAGAATGGCACAGAAATTCCTGTACTAGTTATCTATTTTCTTTGGTCTCCGCTAGTTATTCCAACTTGAAACGTATTATTGCTAACTGCCATTTATAGCCGCCAAAAGGACGTTTTTTTATTATTATTATTTTTTTATTTTTCGGTTTCTTAATAGTGGAACGGACATGTTATTTTACGAATATCAAAGAACAGTAACACCTCGTCCTAAATGACATTTTTCTATGAAAATTTGGAGCCTTTTAAGAAAATGACCCTTAAGCGCTACAGTAAATTCGAAATTTGAAGCTCTTTTTCACGGAAAATTTTTGAGTCCTCGAGAAATTTCATTGGAAGTCATTTGAAGCACATTAACTCACGAAAAACAAATACTCCAATAAGGCCTTTACGTCATATTAAAGAGTGCAATTAGTACCATCTGTTCGATAAAGTTCGAAGAAAAAATTTGGAGACGTTTTTTCGAAAATAGCGTTTGAGCATTTCTGAAAATACAGAATTTTGAGCTAGCTTTTCACAGAAAAGTAGTTTTCGATAAACGTTATCTGACATTATTTAAAGCACATGTACACATAAATATAACACATCACCGGTAATGTAAATATTAATGTGGTGAGATACAAGTAAAAAATTACATTTTTGTAATTTGGGAAAAAAACAAATGAATAGAGCAATATGGGGTTTATGCTAACTTATAGAGTATACTTAACACTATCCCAACCACAAGTTAAAAGGAAACAAATGGAGCCTTTTTTCAAGAAATCATGCATTTGGTATTTTTTTAAAAATTGCAGTATTGAATGTAATATTGCACCAAGACTACTAAAATTAGAAAAAAAGTCTACATGACCTTAAAGAAAGAACAAATTTTATTCCCTATCTTCAAGTTTGTAGTTGTAGGAAGACGCGGAAAAATTCAAACTTTTGCAATTTTCGGAAATTCAGAAATAACCGTGAAAATTGGACCTATGCCACCTTTACAGGTGTATTTTACTCTATTATTACAAGAATTTTTTTTAAAACTTGGAGCGTTTTTGGATACAATTTTGAAAATGTCCGGAGGGCTTCATGTAAAGTACCCCAAATTTTTAAGACATTTTTTAAAATCTCAAAGCTTTGACTCGAGCCAGATGGGCAGGAGTTTCTTCAATTTTCAAAAAATCCTACGCATGGTTTAGGCGCAAAGTGTTCACGGGCGGACGGAAGGTTTTGAAATGTACCACTTTTTCAGTATCAGGGAACCCCAAAACGTGTATTTTCGTTAAAATCTCAAAATCTATTTTCCGCAGCATTACATTACTTTCCCTATACTACTTATATTACTCCACATACTCCCTATATTACTCCACATATACGTATGTATACGGGAAAGTAAAAACGGTAAGCGACGCAGCTGGGAAGCGCATAGAAAAAAGGGGTGCCGTCGGAAAAATTGACTGTTCTTTCAAGAATTTAAAGTCTGCAGGTGAACCCTGATATTATACTAGTGATTTTAACAAGTTGAAATATAACAATTATAATTTTAGAATTCATTCCATATCTTGTTAATTGTTAATACAAAAGCTTATATACCATCGTTTTAAAGCAGCAGAAGAAGAACAACTTTGAAATGGTGAAAATCACTCTTACACAACTAATCTCACCTTTGCGTGCATTTTCCATGACATCAACTCCAAACTGTACAATATCTCCAGAACATACTTCGCGAGGTGGAGATTCTTCAGACCCTTTGCTGAGTCTTTGGTTGTTAACAAATGTACCATTACTGCTCTTTGTATCCTGAAGATAAAACTAAAACAACAACAACAAAAAACACAAATTAGCATTAGAATTCGTGGTGGTATTTACTATATATAATAACGCATAGCTAGAAGTTCTAAAAAAAGAGAAAACGACTACAGGCTAAATTACATCAACTCTTTATTAAGATGAGTTTTGAGATAATGTATATAGCTCTAAAGAAAAGTGTATTTGTGTGTAAACAAGCAACACGTAAAATTGCGAAAATTTTAATGTCAGTCTGTAAGCTTTGCGATGCCGTACAAATCAAACTGTAAGTTGGCGGGTTACTTCTAATATAATTTTTCGTTTCGGTCAATATACCATCAAAAACAAAGAAATACGTCACGAATTACCCCACAAAACGTAGGGTATCAATTAAAAGTATTTATTGTCATCTTTGAATTTATATGATATAGCTAATAATCTTGGTAGTACAAGCAGATATGATTACCAGCATCAATTTCTATATGGCGCAAGGCACTGTTACTTGCATCATTATACTGTTTTGACTATTCCATTTGTATAATATTTAAACAACTGCTCAGAAATCTTCGTGTCCAGCTGACCAGATTGCTTTTCATTATTAGAAATTATCCACTACTTTTTTGCATTAAAGTCACCAATTTCATTTTCACGCCCGAACGTGCACTAGGTTTTATTTACATTGATATCCTTGGGCATTCGATACTCTATTAATTTTGAGACATAACTGTGTATATGTTACGGTCAAAACCCAAAACTACTTGAAACATATTGTGTAGTGAAATATTGGTGTTAACAAAACTAGTGACGGTGAGTGAGCTAAATTTAATTGAGTTGCAAAGACAATGGTCGTATGAGGGGTCTCCGTTTTCAATATTACCCGATCGATTAATGGATACAATTATTAAAATTGTTTAAGAACATTGTACCAATAACTTCAAATATATTTTAAAATATTTGGATTTCCATCGAATAATTATAAGCTTAAAAACTTAAAATCACTAGTAAAGTAAGAATGATTCTAAAAGTTGTTCTTTCCATTCCAGGAAACTGATTATAAACTTTTCTCGGACGCGCCACCCACATCTGACAGCGGCTGTGAGCACGAGCCGCTTCGAAATCTGAGGTCTACGTCACATCTGCAGCCGGCGACAGGTGGCCCACGCGGCACGTACGGCAAATATTCCTTTCACTGCACGCATCGACTGATAGTGGCTGTTAGCCGACTGCTTTTCGGCGGTGGAAGGTTTCGCTGTTTATTACGCTACTGACTTGTACCCTGGTCAGAGTGTTACTGAAGAAAATTAATATTAATAACCACTCTTGAAAATAGTGCTCTAATTTCTCATTTATTGCTTTCTATTACTTTTGATGTTGACCCTTCTGAATAAGGCAACATTCGGAACGAGACATTTATTATCAATTTTATCACTCTACCCACCAGTGAGGAAATTGTAAACACCTTGTTGACACATTCAATCGTCGATTTTTCAGATGCACAAATTTCTCTATCATGTATTGAAGTTACTGGTTTCACGGATAAGTTGCTCCTTTACAAGTGTTTGACAGCATTGCGAGAGCGCATGATAGCTCGGTTGTAAATTTATTTTAAGAAATGTTTTATCCTCTTGATTGTATAAAATGACCGTTCAGCTTCTGAATAAGTCATTGGAGTAGTGACAAGAATTCGAAGAAGTTTGCTGATTTCAAGGAAAATGTCTATAGACATTTTATTTTCGCCGCTCCAATTGTATTTCTAAATTAGCCACTCTTGTACATTCCTTGCAACAGTGTTCTGCATTGAATCTGACATCCCTTTGAAAATGGTTGCACCTTCTAAATAATTTTTAACGCACCGTCATTGATACTAACAATATCCACTAACTCTCGAAATATCCCAGGGTTTTCAGATTGTTCACTTTCGTCGTGACCTCGCAACGCAAGTTCAAAGGCACCACAACATTTAGCACAGTTTGTATGTCCAAAATGTGTCTGTTCTTATGCACTTCATCGTTGCCGTTTTATAAAGAGACAATAACTGTTGTCAAGCTCAGATTCAAGCGTCCCAGTAAAGCCAGTACACTACTGTTTTTATGGAGATGAGTCTCTTGATGCTTTTCTCACTGAAAGATTTCGTGTCATTATAACCGGTCATCGTCCACACATTTTCCTCCTTGCTACATAAGATGCAATAAAAACAAAATAATATTTTTCCTCACACCCACATAGTCACTTGTATGTCGAGTAAATGTTAGCATTGAATGGTTGACGAAACTCTAGTTTTGTTGATTTCACAGTCGTATCTATTTTCATAACAAGCTGATCCAGATCAAGCTTCTTGATTGAAATAATTGAACACCAGGAGGCACAGATACTATAATTAAAATACTATTCAAATCCGAGATGTAAAAACACATTTTACACTGAGTTGAAGTCGGCCCTCGCTAACCACATCGAATGCAAAAAGGTGCGTTTCGGAGTATCGTATCGGGGACTTTTACTGACCGCGCAACGGAGCCTTAGTCTCGGAGTTGGGCGACGCGATAGCCGGATAGTGCTGCGCCAAGCAGAGTTGGCTGTGTGTCATTGGATGACAGTGCCCAATGAAAACACAGAAGCGAAGTGACGTGGTGCCCAATGGCCTTCGTGGAACGCGGACTGAGCGAGGTCTTGTAGACGTGAGCCGCGATGTAGCCACATCTGTTCGTCAATGTAATACTGATATGGAAATTATAAAAAGAGCAGTAGAAAAAAAGTCATACTAATATTGAGATTGTAATAACGAAGTCATTACTCTATTTTGTTCAACTTTTTGGATGTTGCGAGAACCTGTGAAAGTTATAAAGAACCGCCCCCGAACAAACTCTTTAGTGAAAACTAATATTTATTAGTCAGAGCAAGAATTATCCAAGTTTGCTGGGGAAAACAAGAATTTTTTGATATTAATTAACAAATAATTACAACAAAGTTTTGAGAGAAATGCATCAATTAGAAGTGATACGAAAGGAATTTAAAACCTGTACAGAGAATGAATCGCTCTACTTCATTTCTATCAGCACTCAAAACTAGAGATAGAAAACGAAGACCACTAGAGAATAACTGAGGAGACACCGATGACTTTCTCTGAAAAATGAATTTTTCATAGTAAACATCAAATAACGACTTTTAAATATTTTTTGCCACTTAAATACTTAAAAACCATGATCTCCCAAAGTTATAACAAGTGTAATTAATAAGTGTTGAAACTGTCACCTGATGAATATGATTACTACATCTTGTGTTATAGTTATAGACATCGGTTGTAACTGAAAAAAATGTTCCCACGGTTGAGTTAAGCATTTCTGACAAAAACACGTCTTCGGAAATCAAGAGGCAAGGTAATGGACGAATTCCTAGCTTAGTGAAGAGAGGCTAACAAGAAACACGTGGGTGGGATTTGCTTATTCGTATAATTCTTTGTTTACTCTACACGTCTGGGAGCTAATGTGTTAGTCCAGAATATTATGCCATACGTCAAGCAAGAATGATCATTCACGAGATATATACGACGAGCAGTATGGAGGCTGACTGAATTTGAAAGAATTTTGAACGCGTAACATAATGAATTTTCCATTAAAGAGAGCAATGTTTAAATGCTTAAATGTAGCTGTACAGGGCGTCACGTACGAAGAAAAGTATACAAGGCACCCACCTAATGATGTACTCTAGTTTCTCGACAGAGAAAATATTTAAGAGCGCGGAATTGTCATTGCCAAGCAGGGGTTCAGATTATGTCTTCGGCGGCTACCATGAAAAGCCTTATAATGCAGACATGCTACTCTGTTGAGGTTCGATCTATGCATTTTTAATGAATAGATTAACGACTTCTCTCGTAGACTTGTGAAAGCAACTTTACCCTTTCTGAAAACAGACACTATAATATTATTCAAATAATTTATATGTTTAATATAATTATGTTTTAAACAAAAGTCAAAATAGCTATTCAAATTCTATGAAGATAATTCGTATATAGAAAAGGGAGTGGATCTCCACGCACAAGGTGACATGAGGCAAAGATTCGATGACATGTGAAAATTTGTAAGAGAAGCTTGGACCCACAGACTATGACAAAAGATTCGCTGATTCATCACTAAAACCCGATTTCTGTGTGCTACCAATCTTGTTACGCGCTAAAAACTGAACATTAACAGTACATTGACGATTATTCGTCATTTTATATAGAGACAAAACAGACTTCAGAGTTACCGATTTCACAGATCCCTCAGACCTTAACTACCTGTGATGTTCATATCGTCCGTAATCATACACAAGCCAATGCTTAATTCCGTGCAACAAGGAGCAGAAAAATTGAGAATGAATTTTCAATGCAAAGAGGTCTAAAGAAGAGAGAGAAGTGAGTGTCTGAAGCGCATTTAAAGAATGGATTTGACTCATCCCCGTAAAGCTATATAATGTAAAAAAATTAAGGCTGAAAATAAAGCGTACCTTTTAGCAGAGTAGAATATGAAAAAATATTGAAATCAATAAAAACATATGGCAGTTCTACAATAGAAGGTAAAGGCTACCGATTCCAGGCTAAGCCAAATGTATAAACGAAACTGTGATCAGGGTGGCTTGACACGATTTTCTGTGAGATCTTTTGATAACACAGGCACACGAAAAAGTTCTCAGACCCAAAGACTTGAACGGTGGCGTATACTGTACGGTGACGTACTACCTACGGTAGCCTGAGATAAATACGAATGATTATTACGAATCACTAAATGTGCAGTATCTAATGGATCTTCAGATGAGGTAACAGCATTTCTTCAGTGTATTTTTTATCAACGTCTAGCACACGTAAACATTTTTTATAGTATTGTTTTCTGTTTTAGATTTTGAAGAACCCTGGAAACGTGCAATATATGAATCAGACGTTATAAGACGCCTGTAAATGAAATCGGTGTTAGTGTCAGCTTTTGATGTTTTCTTATAAATAGTTCACTGGACATACTATTTTTCTTTTTTCTTCCTTCTTCGAATTTTTC